GAGAAACAATATTTGAGGAGTCTGCATATCGGGCAGTTGTTATTATGTTTGTATATTATCGAAATTGTAAGATTATGATATTAAATGCAAAACCCCAAAATGCATTGGTATGACAATGTTTTTGCCTTAAAATCAATTGTCGGGTAGATTTTCCGCCTGGTTGCCTGTCCATCAGTTCAGATCCTGTATGACCATTAGAAACCCCCCCACCTCTTCATATTAAATGTTAAATATTATTACAGAGCAAAACCAAACGATTCGAAATTCAATCCCCATCTTGGCCGATATAATAAATAAATATTAAACTTACGTCTTTTCCTCTGTCTGGGTGTTCCCACCTCAATTTATTGTTTTTTTTTAATACTTTTTATTACTTTATTAATCACAATGCTCCTTCACCTGTTTAACTGCTCGCATGTTGATGTATGTATAGCTTTTGACCGATTCTCCATTTTTCCTACAATGTTTTATGTCAATTTCTGCATTTTTTTAATTGTCAATGTTATGCTGTTTTTATATATTACAGCTTTTGTTAATTCATACGCAATTTAGCCAGGTGCTGCAATGTATGCTTTTTACTGTAAAGATTTAACAAATATACCTCAAAAATAATACTCAGAAGGTTTATTCATGATCATTGACTTATTGATTGATTGCAGGGGTGGCGCCAGCGGGGGGGATCGAGGCCACAGCCTCCCCCTCGGGGAGTGTTTCCCCCTCCCCTGTCGGGGAGAAAAAGCACAGTTCGTCGGGGAGGAAAAAAATTTGATTGATTGTTTGCATGAATCACAATAGGGCCTATATAATATATTATTATATCAATATTATTATTATTACTATTATTATTATTATTATTATTATTATTATTATTATTATTATTATTATTATTTATTGATTGATAGTAGATTGGTTAACATTGGAAAGTACCGTAATCAATATACAAAGCTACAGTCGTTTTGAATTCCCAATATATTTGTTGCGATTATTTTGAACAGATTGAAACTAAACAGAGATGTGTTCAAGCTCTAGATTCAGTCAAACGCAACGCAAGTCTGTTTTAAATATACAATGCACAATATCAGTATATATATTCCAAGAATATTCCAGAATGTTTATGGCTATTGGGAAATGGAATTTATTATAGGCGACGATACATGGCTACAAAAGATAATTGATAACCTATAGCACAGATCCTATAGGATCTGTGCCTATAGTAACGTCGTGTATATAATTTTGAAACCGGGAAAGCGCCTCTATTACTTGAGAGCCGCAAATTGTTTAAGTAGTGTTTCACATTCCCATCCTCTTTGTCTTACCTTGTTAAAATGGTGTGTACATGGGTCCATTTGATGTTTTTCAACGATTTAGTCTGTATGAAATCTTATTAATAATGAATAAATATTAACTAATAAGCAGTAGAGTTGGCGGCTAGCAATATAATAACTGTCTCTTATACACATCTAGATGTGTATAAGAGACAGGATTTCCCCGACGAAAGAAAAGTGGGTGTGGTCGGGCTTTAAAAGGTTACGAAAGTGGTCCAGGGGACAAAGCCCCCGAACATTTTGACAATTTAGAGGATTCAAAGGCTTATTTAATCGATTTTAATTATTAGTCTACTAATATGTGGGAAATACATATAATTTTTTTTTCTCCCCGACGAATTGTGCTTTTTCTCCCCGATGGGGGGGGGGTGCAGCTTTCCCCGACGGATGGACCTGCCACCCCCCCCCCCCAACCCGCTGGTGCCACCCCTGAGTGTTACTGATGATTAAAAAAAAAATACAATAATTCAACGTTTTACGTTGATATTAAGGCCTGAAAATACCCCTACGCCGTGTCGCTTGTTCTAGAACGGTGGTGTGTTCGCTTATTCGATCATATACGATAGATTATTCAGTTCAAACGTTGTGACGTTGTGAAATTAGGTTATAAGTACTTACATATGGTTCTACAAAATAACGTTTTTATCACCAAACTGTAACGTTATTATAACGTTCTTAGAAAGAAATATTGTTAGCTGGGTTGGTACAATTGAGAAAACTGTAAATGTTTCATAATAAATGACGACACACGCGCAAATAACTAACCATATACTAGGCCTACACAGTGTGAATATGAATGATTATGAAAAAAATGTTGTTTATCAATACGATACAATATCAATACAAGCGCAAGCGATAAACACATTGAGCATGCGATCATTGGGGCGAAGGCGTATTACAGATTTAAAATATTAGGCATCATATACTGTATTGACATTTATTTTGATAAATGATTTGTTTTAACCATAAAAGCGATATTGCATGTAAAGCACCCCAAAAAGGAAGCGATTATAACAATTGGCGTCTAGATATTACAATAGACATAAGAGACAATCACCGTAGATCAATATCTATTACTCGGATGAAACAGGAACAGTATCATAGAAATATGTAATTATTATGCACTTATATTTGTTGCTAGAGCAAATAATACGCTATACGGAGTTATTTTCTACAAATGAAACAACATGTCCGGTACTTCTCATCTCAGGTTTAATGCACTTAATACCAAATTAGTTAGCTTCTGTCCTACATGGGTCTATTCTTATTCAAATATGACGCTAACGGTATTCAAAACAGATTAAGCCAGTCTCTTAAGCGTCACGACGCTATTTCTGAGATCCCGAGTTTGACTCTCAGACTTGACGTGAGATTTTTGTTGAAGAGTCTTCTCCTGAGGGAGGGGTGGGGGTCCAGGCCTTGCAAACACTTAGATGCATGGCCCTGCGTTCTCTGCAAAACCCGCAATTTTTCTTGACAATACATTTCAGACCGTGCGTGAGCTTATCACGGTGACACGAGCCATGCACGTGGCATCGTGTACGTGTTTTTTTACATCATCTGCCGGTGCTTGATAAAGCAACGACATCAACTTGAACGAACGGTTTTGTGATAAGCTAGAGAAAAGTTGGCGCATGTTTAATTGGAGACCTAGTGAGAGGTCTATGCCTATATTTTTTTTTAGTTTGCAGTGTTACCGTACATTAAAATTAAGAGTGAGATTTTGGGCCTGAGAGGGAGAGATCTCGAATGAGTCTTGAATTGTCTCGGTAGGTTTAAGAACGGAACGTATTTGATCGGTTCTTATCGGCGATCATTTACGGTAGAAATAGAACTGAATAAAAAGACCAAAGCCATAAAACCATCTGTGATAATGTTATTAGGCCTATTATTACTAGGCCTATCAATTGTTATTTGCATAGACCTACTCATTTGTTACGAAGAATGCGTATAGTGAATACTTTAATCAAACTTTCGCTGTCGTGTCACACAGGCCTACGTCTAGTAGGCCTATATTCCAACATGGAGGAATAAGTTTAAACTTACCGTATTCCTCCATGATAAGATATGGCAAAACAAAAAAATGACGTCATGATTGATCTCCATTGTCACAAGAATTACATTGACCCCCTAATTAACAAGTGTATTCATTTAAAATTGATTAGGCCCTATGTGTCATGTTTTCGAAAGCTGAATGATCTGCCACCACTGGATACGGCTGTGTTACAACCATTTCCAGCATCCCCCCCCCCATCCCCAACTCAATTCTCTCTCAATAGTAAACATGGAATGAGCCCTGTGTTAGGCCTACACTTTGTTTAACTTTAGAATCGCCTTTTTCCAAAGTAAATATTCAATTTGTTTTGAATGGTGGTAGTTATTTAAATGTTTAAAAGTCCTTATTACGCTGTTTAGCGTCATTATTGTTGTGGTTTTCCTTGTATTGGCCTATGTCACGTGCCGGTTTCGTTATCAGATAACCAATCGCCCCCGCCCACCGCCAGTGTTCATAATTTCAGTAGTTTACATATTACCTATTTATTCCGATCTGTAATTGACCATGCTCCAATTGGCTAGGACCAGAATGTTGATAATCATTAAGCTTATAGGGAAATATGTTAAATATAGCGAGTGGCCGATAATCGTATTACTGAACTATAGGCCTAATAATACAAACACAAATCAGGTAAGTTCTCAATACAAAATGTCTTTATTCATAGCTATATCCAGCATTGTTCGAATGTTTTTCTTATAAAACGAAGATTAAAAAACAAAAGCTATTTCTAATTCTCTTGTAACAAAAATGAATGTCTATATACAAAATGTACACTATTTCCCGCCAGCAGGTTTAAAACAACGATAATGACCGAGTTAAAAGTTAAAATACAACTAATACTGATATGAAGAAGAGAAACTAAAACAAGTACATTGGACACATCATACATTCATAAATATTCATGAATGAGGTATGACATCATACATCATGAATACCAATCAGAAACTATATCAATTAGTTGATGTAAAGATCTACATTAAATCATAAGATACAATCTATAAACAATTATTAAATAAACCAAGCCATATTATGACATATTATATGCCTTCTCGTATAGTTTCAAGTACACATACGATTAAAACGTCAAACAATCTAGCCTGTTATACAACCGTACAACAAAATGAAGTACGTACATTAATTTCATATTAAGCTCTGTGTGATTGGCTAATTGTTTATTCAACTGAAACTACGAGATGGATTATTAAATGTTAGTCAAACATTGAAACCAGAAAATAAGTGTTTTACGTCAAACGAGACAAAACATGAAAACATTTAACATTATTTTGCTGCTCTGCAACTGACCAGAAATATTGAAATGAACATTTTATATTTACAAATATTTACAGAAGTCGTCAATTTTAATGCAAATTTATACATGGTATATATAACAAGTCAACGATGCCTAAATAGAAAATATTATTTATTTTATTATCAATTTGGTTTTAAACAAAATGATGATTGTAATACCATCAGATTGTGGTCAGTATAAGTTTACAGAATGTAATTATCTTAGATTGCATAATGGAATTATATATTTACAAATGCATCACCGTCAAACAACTTTGCATATTTCAGATATGTCTGCAATGGATTTAACTTAAGGCTGTGTAGGAATGGTAATCTGAATCATAAAGAATAATAAATCAAATGATTTACAAAAAGAATCAAACTTTGCAATACAGTATTCATTATTTGGCCATTCATTCTCCCAAAGATAAAGCAGAGATAGTCTAGCTCGGATGACAATTAAGAAAAAAGTTCACGTAAGCTGATCCGTACCTCGTTTTATTAACGCTCATCTGTAGATTGTGGAAATCACATGGATACACCATCTCAAGTTTAATTGCCAGGGAAAGAATGTTATGGATGATGCCGGGAGCTTAATTATGATTCGAATGACTGTCTTAAACAAGGGACCATGTTCAAACAGATATAACACTATCTATAGCCACAGGGTACAATGATGAAACGCTCCTTCCGGTGTACATAATCGCTGATAAGACGTTTCTCGTGATGCTACTGTCTGCCTGTAGATTTTGACGCACCATTTAGCTGGTGTACGCGTTACTTGAACGTTTGAACAACAATAACAATTATGTTATCAGGATTTCTCAATGTCTATAACATTGTCACTCTACTATATATCCCTCTGGAATGTGATAAGATGGAAGATCGAGTTTGCAGTAGTTAATAAATGACGTCACACAATCGCACACATTCTCTTCGATCTCAATGAACAAGAAAATTCTCCGAGTCGATTATTGTTTTTTTCCCTTTCTTAAACGTCGAAGGATCATACGGGTGGAATGGAGCGATTTCCATTTACGGTCATCGTTATTGTGAAGCTGACCCCTGATGAGGGGATTGTCTAGTTTGATTTAGCGTCATTTTCTGGTTCAGATTTGGACAGACATGCGACTTCTTTCCAACCAGATGCGTTCTTGCCAAACTTATAGACTAATCGCCGACCGTCAACTCTTTCTAATATTTCTCGTCTGTAGTAGTATCTAGAAAAACAAATAAAAACAATATTTAATTGACATGAAGCTGACATTTTCGATTTGATTGCTATTATAATCATCAATATATTTTGTTTATTATGTGTTGATTCTGTATTCATTTTGTTTATTTCTTTCACTTTCGTGTTTATAATAAGATAGTGATTTTACGTTATTATTCTTAAAGATAAATTGCAAAGTTATGCAAATTTTGAACAGTACGCCTTTCCACAGAAAAATTAAAACCTACCTCATTGCTCGGCTGAGTTTCTCATAGGTCATTCCGGGATTATTTTTCTTTCTCCCCCACATTCGTGCAACGGCTTCTGAGTTAACAAAACGAAAAACTCCCTGTTCTTTGTCTTCCCATCGGATATACTTTGGGCAACAAGCGTTGTTTTTTAGGAGATCGCGGATAAATTCCCACAAATGGTTTCCCTTCATGCCTTCTCTGCGTCCACGGCCCCTGAAGTTTTTACTGTCCCCGTCACTGTCATCCGTATCAATACGCTGGATTTTTCGGGGTCGACCAGGTCTTCTCTTTGACAAGCCAGGTAACTTGGTGTGAATGTCTTTAACGATGGTTTTTCGTTGGTAGTTGTGTGTACGTGAGACATCGTGTGTTGGTGAGGGACAGTCGTCGGAATAGCTTGTTGGACTCGATGGGGGCAGTGTAAAACTCGTACCGCTGGCATCACTGAAACAGTCGCTTTCAGAATCTGAAATATGCAAATATTCAGAGAGGTTATGTATACATAATCACACTTTAAGTTTCGATTTTAGTCTTCGAAAGTGGTTCAAACAATAATACTTGTAGCAATGCTTTACAAAATGACGTTAATAGTCTTTATAAATTATCACAAATATTGAGTTGTTAATATTTTTGATATATGGCCATAACCATTCTGTGGTACTAAGATATGGAACACATGTACGTACGCGTTTATAGGAACGCGGGAGTTAATAACACGCAGACCGTGATGAAATGTGTATGGGTGATACGTTTTAACACGAGATGTTGAATGTTACGGTACTGAGGGTGGATACCTACCTTGATCGTAACAAAAGCCAACTCGAAATGTGTCCATTATTGAAGGAAGATCTGGAAATGAGTATATGTTGTCGAATTGCGATATCTGACCGACAGACGGAACTGTATGCACTATAAACAATCAGATTGAAATACTGTACTTAAAATACAAATCTGATAGACCAATCAATATAAAATCTAACAAATATTTTTAATTATCGTGGAACTATTAGTAACTAAAGAGCCAAACAAATTGTTATTTTAAAAATTGATTAATATTAATTAGGAAATATTTATTAATAAAAATGATATATAATAACGTATAATAATAATAATAATAATAATAATAATAATAATAATAATAATAGGCTTACCATCATCTTCATCCGGAATATCAAGTGATGAAAGACCGTGTTCATGAAGATCTTGCACTTTGCCATCAAATGGCGTTGTTAAGATAATGTCATTTAAATCTATGGAGAAAAAAATACAAACATAAATAACACCTGATTTTTCAATGCATTCTATAATTTTCATATTTTTTTTTATTGTAATCTCCATTGTATATGTAGACCTATGTAAGAATTGTAAGTTAGACCAACCTTGCAACGCTAATACGGAGGGTAGCATGCTTGATAGCGTCTCGTCTAAAGTCTCTGGATATGGGTACACTAAAAGCAAAAAAGAATGAAGACGGTTAGCAAAGAACACAATTTAAACAATAGACTGATACCGGTATTTAAAGGGATTGTATGTTATGTTAGTATTGTTCGATAAATATAACTTGACTAGGCTTAAAGAAATGGCGCTTAAATAAAAATTATCCTAAGTATTGTACTTTTCTACCCACGCTGCTTATGGCTAAATCACATCTTGTATATCAAAAGATACACAAGAGGCAAATTATATACAGGTGCTTTAAATCTGTGTTGATCAGATTGGGTTTTAAACAAAAGGAAGAGCGAAACTTTTAAGATTGCAGCTTTTGTTTTTGGTGAGAAGCAGATTGATGTGGTGATAATCATTTTATTGAACTTGCGCTTTCGGAATGTCACGTGCAAAGTTTAAATGTCTTGTCAGATGACGTGTGAAAAGTTTCATTCTCTATAGTCTGTTTCATGAACATAATTAGGATTAATATAAAATGTAAATCGTCATAATCATCGAAAACATAGTAATTTATAAATTCCAAGAGAAGATTACTTACTAGTATCCCAGCTTGCGAATTCCATGTTTTGCATTGTATGATGGGAAATTCGGGAAGAATTAACGGCAGGTTCTAACTGTGCGTATACGGGACTGTGGGGTGGGGTTGGTAGGCCATCATGTCCCACGCTGTTGCTCAGTTTAGTAATACCGTGGCCGGAAGTCAGCAACTCCTGTGCCTGGTCGTCACCAAAGATCTAGCGGAAAAGATGTTAGCGTTTTGTTTAAAACTATTGTACTAAAATAATAGATAACGGGTAATCGACAAATAACACAGACAATCCATTATTCTAAGCTAGTTTCACGTAGTTCGTTTGTTGTCCTGTTTTATGTACGCGTTCAATATCCTTTTAAGAGATTATAGTCAACTTTTTCAATTGCGTGAATATATGTCAAATATGGATATCGACTATGCTAAATTTGTCATAGATTATTTATCATAATATTATTTATACAATGAACAAAAATGTATTTATAGATTAGCTGAATGGTATCGTACGTTTGACCTTCAAACAAAGGGTTGATGACGACAGTAAAAATTACTGAAAATTCGGACTAGCGATGAATTTGTACTAAATGCAATGAGTTTGCAAAAATACCGCTTGCTTGTGTGATTTTTGTTTCCCGGTGTATATTAAGTAGAACGTCCGTATTCCGATTTACGTTTAGGCGCCTCGCAACGCCCCATCGTAGAGGCAGACGATTTTCCGGACGTAATTAGACGATGCACGGATAGGCCGATTACCATAATTTGAATTTGGAACTTACTTCATTTTTAAAGCCATCCATATTTTGATTGTAGAAATAAGATTGCTGATATGGCAGTGGTGGTTGGTACTCTAAGTTATTCCTATTTGTTGTCTCGAAATGCCTGTAAAAAAAAAAAACATGTAAATAGAAAAGTGTTAATTTACATTTAATTTCGTTTTGTTTTTGGTACTTTCTGCTTACCTAAAAAAAAAAAAAAAAAAAAAAAAACAAACGCTAGAAACATAGTTCATTTATCTAGTATTTTCGTGTCAAAGTGTAATTATACACGCACGGATGCAAAGAAGTCTTTTAATTTTTAGAATAATAGCCGTAGGTACGTGGATTTTGATTACTAGTTTAAGTAACTTGCAATGGTCTATGTTTCAACGCCTAAAGTCAATCATCATCACGAAGAATGTCTGACCTCTCCGAAGAGCATCAACTCTTGTGACTGTTTCTATTGTGGTTCAACAACAACCATCTGCTTCAAGCTAGTATTTATTTATACCTCAAATAATTATCTATACGGGCTAGCATTTTACATTATCTAGCATTATTCTATGAAACGTCTCCAGAAGGCAATTTTATGATGGTTCCCTATGTGAATCGATACATTGTTCTATTGTCGCTGAATGAATGCACATGTTTATTAATAGTATTATGTGTACATATACAGTAGTCGTCTTAACTGCTGTCTGAACACAATGGTATCGATCATGAGGGTTAAATGTCAACTAACAGCAAAACTTGAACGACTTAAAGTGGTTCCATTATAGACTGACGCCATAGTCGCATGTAAAGACGCGCGAGAGCAAGCGGGTACACGGGCACGTGTGACATCATAGTCAATCATGAAAGGTTCATGATATTCACCTTTGCTATTGGTATAGGATGAATGCAGTGTCGAGATTAATGGACTTAAGAACCGAAGAAGCTGCTTTAATGACAATTTGGAAGTGAGCCAATATTTGAACATTGAAAGATAGAATGCTTTCGGTTGCATAGCAGAAGAATGCTTTTTATTGCATTGTTGAGATCTGTACTTATTATGCTAATTCCAGGCACTTACAATATACATTTACCTGGGTTTAGGTCACCGACTTTATTACATTGTCTATCTACCCAGCCTAATCAGTGATTCTAGATAATTGTTTTTCTCACTTAATTTTAAAAGTAAGCACAATAAAAGTAAGCACAATATAGTTAGTCTATAAAAGAAAGAAAATGTTTATTGTGAATTGTGAAAAGAACTTAATGAACTATACTGTATAATAAACATGATATAAACAAGTTAATGAATTCTGGTAGGTCACGGCTGGAGGAATGCAAAGTATGCAAACAACTAACGAGGTCCGGGATTGGTTGTTTATTAGGCGTATGATTCGATGAGTAGCCTTAATAACAACCACCTGTTAATTCCAGACGATTATGCTTTCCATAAATACTTTTAAATATCAACCCAATACAGCCGCTCCTAAATCAACGATCGCAATAAACAACAAGTATTTATACGAAATAATGCGTTCAATTGTACCACTATGTTATGCACTAGTTTTCTTAGTAATTGTTATTTACAACAACATCCAATAATAATATTATTATTATAGTACTATTAAGCTGTTGTAAACAACGCAACATAGGCCTACTACAGATCATGAAGTTGATACAGACTTACTTCTACTTAATTTGTATGCAGGATTTATATACCAAAGGTCCACTTATTAATCTCCGATACTTGGAGGATTTATATACTGTATGTAAAAAATAACATACTACTAATACAATAGAATTTTCAATAGCGACTATATGCACAGTGAATGACAAGTAAATAAGCAAATACACAGTAACACATAAAATACACCCAACCCAAATCTAACTAATTTACAAGTACTTAAGTCTGAATATGCATTTACTAAGAACGCAGAGTTTTATCAAATAATCATCTCGAAATACATTCAGAATGGATACATGAAACTACACTTACCTCAATCAAAAGCAAATTAAATAGGCTTATACAATAATATAGTTTGACATGGGTGCGTTGAAACAAACGAAAAAATTGCGTCTCGTCCCCGTAAGTAAATTACAGTACAGAGAAAATAAAATCAAGGGGCTGATTAAATATATCTGATGTTATGAGCTCTTGGGTTCCTACAAGACTGACTAGAATTTAGAGTTTAACTTCAATTATACATCACGACCTATAAATATCAGATATTACCGACCAGCAGTCAAAGGTATAACTGTGGGACTTCCCCTCTTTCCTGTACAGCAATACGAACCCTGATTGGCTGATATGAAACGAGGCGTGGTGAACAGGCTGTTAACCAATAGAAAGCTGTAATTCCGTGAAGTTAAAGGGGCTTTACCAATGATGTAACTGTAGTGATTCGCGTTATACTCTATGAGCCAATCAGAGACTTTCATGTCATTGGCATTCGACAACTTGGGAGCTACCATATTTGTGAGTGTTGAATCGTGACGTTTGTTGTCGTTGAAGGTACCTAGATATCAGGTCCACGTGAACAATCATAATAGCCCCAAAAAATCCGGATTTTACCAAGTTGCCAAACACGTCATTCAGTGGGGTATCTGAAACCTCGGATATGGGTCATGTGGGAGGGATAGTCGTTCGTTACTGTAAACACCGCGGTCACACTGCTGAAATATCCTTAAGTACTATACACAAATACAGTACTACACAGATTTATAGGCGATCCGTCGCTTGGTGGGGTGGTTGGCCTTCCCACCCCAGTATCTGAAGTTCCCCCGGATTCACTGAAGCTTCAAAATCAAATTGATAATGGCATTTGATATTCAATTCTATAACGAATTACTCACTGATGGAGGATACATTTCGTGAAAAAACCCAAAATTAATGGAGTGTGCACTTTTAATTTTAATAAAATATAATGATAAATAATACAGTTTGGTGCGCAATGATAAAAAAAACAATTTTACAAAATTCGGTTATACTTATGGAACTCCTCTTTTAGATGGAGAATGAAATAGGCAACCTTTTTGGGTGTTTGAGAAAAGAAATGTCAATAATTTACAAGATCAACAACAAAGGCCGCATCTATTATTTTCAGCAGACAAAGTGGCGTATATTTGCATAACGTTATTGAATACAGTAGGCCTGATCGTTTTTTAAATATATATTTTTGCGTGCATGACTGACACGCTATTTAGGCAGTTAAACAGTGACAACCTGTTTACGTACTCTTCAGTGTGGACGTAACAGTGACAACATGTTACGTCCACACTATGAGTAAAATAAACCATTGTTGTGGTTATGATCTATACCCCATGATGATCCCCTAGGCATAGTCTTCTTTCAAGGACTTTATCTGTACCACTTTGAAATAATTGTTCATTAATGATGCACCGGTGATGCACACGTAATGCAAACGTAACGTCTCATCCGAAAGACGTTGCACTAAGGCCTAATAATAACTTCCATAACAACCGTCCAGTTGAAGCAGAAGAGCAGAAAATTAAGAAAAATTAGCCACACTTTAAAAAAGTGCGAGCAAATATCGATTTCCATCATACGGTACGGGAAAAAAAGAAGCATCAATAGGTTGCGCTATTTTTGCTCTATTGCCTAGACTATCTCTGAATATTAAGGCTAGATTGATAAAGAAAGGGAGAGAAGAGATAGCTACAAGAACGTCGTCTTGCATGTGGCTTTCAGTACACGCGCGCACGATGGGATACCGTACTCTACCGGTATGGAACTTATTGTTAGTAAGTGTGAGCTAACACAGGGAAGGAATGACGTGTAAGTGGGACATATTTTGTGTACCCATATATAGGCCTAATCTTAAAACTTCGTCAAGAAATCGTAACACTTTATTTACAGGCCCCTTAGCAAGAGGCAGATGACAAAAGTAGTATGTTAGATCTCGTGTTAAATTCAACAGCATGTCAGTATTGATCTGACGAATGTTCAATCTTACGATGAAAACACGTGGTGTACTGCATGAAATTTGGCTAAGTTTTTGATGCGTGAATAACAATTGCTCCCCGAATATTTATTTTGGTTCAGTACACTGCGATTTAGTATCACATTAGACCAACGTGGAGAGCATTGTGTTACCTTAATTGACAAGGCCTATGTGCATTCTCTTCTGTATGATCGAACTGCTATTTATGGTATGATATAACTTAACTTCATAATCATTTAGTTAATGATATTTGACCATCTCGTAGTCATATTATTTGATTGATGTTTTCATGAATAATCTTTATCTAATCTAACCGACTGCTAGGCCTAGGTTTTACATCCAGGGTTTTACGTGGGGGAGGGGGTGGTTGATAAGTGGCATTTGGGACCTAATCTGAAGGGAGGGAACGGAACATTAATTTGATTAGAAATATTTTTTTCCGCTGTGCGGGATATGGGACGTGTACACTATCTCCACCCCTGGATTCGCCATTGCTGGTGGTGACTATGAAGTTACTCTTGAGTCTCGGTTTCTTGGTTTCCGTTTATGAGGCAGAATAGACGGACTGTGCACCAGCTTGGTGTGTAATGCGGGATGGTTCGGTGAAAGGCTGGGTTCCGGGACCAAGCCTCTAACAAACATTGGATTGAACGTACTTAATAATTTTGATTATTGTAGTCCACATTAGATAACACACCTGTAAAACAAACATGTTGATATTGATGATGGCGGTAATGATGATGAGGGTGTTGATGAACAATGATTAGCATAGGGTGAAATACCGTACTACGCAGTGGCGGATTCAAAGGGTAGGGGGAAACCGGCCCGGGACCTTCTAAATTTTTCAAAATTAAAACCAAAAAAATTGAGAAAAATCCACTCAAATTTTGAGTCTAATAGTGCCAGTTCCGGCCATCTAGAGGTGCCATAATCATAAATTGTCTTACCTCAGCCCCAACCATGGTGGGGCTGAGGTAGTGTAGACCCTCCGTCTCTGAAAGTCCCCCTCTAGGCCCCCTCTATTTCAACCTTCGGGATCCGCCACTGCTACAGTTAATTCTTATTTCACGTAAAACTTATTTCCTTTTCTGCAAGCTATTTTGGGATCTGTTAAGAACACCGTAAGGGAGGGTAGAGCTAGAGAGGAAGCCACGATTACAATAACATACTTAATATACTATAATAATAATAATAATAATAATAATAATAATAATAATAATAATAATAATAGTAGTAATATTAATAATAATAATAATAATAATAATAATAATAATAATAATAATAATAATAATAATAACGGTCGATTTATAGAGCGCATATTGTAGAGACCTATATGCACATTATTATTATTTGTACAATTTAGAAACTACATTGACCACAGCCGGATATTGTATAGATATCATTATTGTTATGTAAACAAAATAAACGCATTTGTGGTCATCAATCTACTTATATAGACGTGTGTGAAAATCGCAACGTTAATATCACAAGCATTTGATATACATTGTTATTTTTGACACGCCTGTGTCCTTCTTGTATGTATAATGTATATATATATATATATTTTAACTGCAACTTTTTTTATAACGTATACTGCATTTCGATCGCTCCTGTGATAAGAAGTCTACGTTGTTGCCTTCGTGTTTTTTACGACACGTGTATAGGCCTATTTATTTTGTTTATACAGACGTAAATTGTGATCTTCAATAGAATAGAGTAGGCCTAGAGTCCAGCACTAGCCAGCCAATGCTGTGCAAAGTTCACCCCACCCCCTTTCCCGCCCATCATGTATGTATACCTTCTAAATATTTGCTGAAATGAAACAATTCTGAATTACAGTATTCATACAAGAAATTTGGAAGTGGCTTCGCAAAATCTGTTTAAATCTAAATAAGGAGGTTAGTAAAATTTGGAAATAGTTTGCAGAGGAGTCAACAGGTACCGTACCAACCAAGACAAGTTCATATCTTATTTACTATCGTGTCATAGCGTCAGTAATCAGACGACAATGGGGCATGACGTGTCGAAACGGTACTGTCAGCACCCTAATTGGCTGCTGCATCGCCTATACAACCAAATATGGTACACTGTACGGCTCAACGCAATTTGATTCGTCCATTGCAACTAAGCACGTGGTATGCCTTTCCATATTTGGACGGCCTCTGCTTGAAAAGTTCGTACAACAGGTATTTACATGTGACTGGAAGAATGTATCGTATATACCATGCGTCAGGGAAGATCTCACATGATTAAATAATAGTTTTTAAATTTCAGTCAATCAACTGTTTAACTTTAAAAAAAAACCAATTCATACTGTAATGTAAAATCAAGTCGCCATAAATAAAACAGACCTTGAACAATAAAGTTCAATATTTGAATAGTAACAGTACTATTGAAAATTATAGCTATCATCACCAATTAGTGCACGCATATGCTTAAATAATACCGTCAAATTAATAATATACAGCATTTATCAGTAGTCAGTACTCAATCGTTACTTCTAAAGTGAAGTTAATACGATATACAGTACACTTTCGCAGTAGAGATTTGTTTATATACTGACACCTTTAACGAGAATAAACAATTAGAGTTCGTGAGCTGCTTTCTGAAGAAGCCCTGAAAACAATTAGCAACAGGCTAAAGAAATGTATACAATAAAAGTGAAATGGGTACCTAATTAGAATATAGTGTAAAACACGATTATAAAAGCACACCAAAACTACAAACAGACGCCGAAGTTCATTAATTTTTCGGCATTCGTTAAAACAGGAATATTTGGAGGGTCAAGCAAATCATTAAACCACAATGCCAAGTTAAGAACCTACTAGATAATAAAACAGTCAATCTAAAGTATTGAGTAAATCAAATGATAAATAATACTATTTCCCAAACAGACAATGATAATTAGTATTATGTTTCAGAATTGGCTAGCAGACAATTCAAGTAGTGTCTGAGTGAAACGCTATTAAACCAGTCTGAACAATTCTTATATTCATTGAAATTTAAGTAAAAATAGATGAGTCGTTCTAGTCTGATATAACAGTAAATAAAACACTGGAAATGAACTACTTTGAAGATTAGTTTTAATGACATTACACTAACTTTCGTGCGCACAGTGCACTTTAAGCTGGTTTTCCACTAGGCGAATTTGTTCGCGCGGATCAAAGCGTCGGTTCGCTTCCTGAGCTCTGATTGGTTGCGCATTTTTTCGCTTCGCAAAAACTCCGATAAGAATGTGAATGCGCATGT